CCCTAACATTCTGTGATTCTGTGATTCTGTACTGGAGCAAATTCACTTCTGTCCCTTAGCTCCTCCCCCAGACTATTTTGGTAGCACAGTTTGACACACATCACCACAACTGGGAACAAAGCTACTCTGTACTTAAGCAAAGAAACTGCACTGTTAATTTTTTTAAATGCAATTTAAAAGCAAATAGTTTAGTAAACAGCCTTCAGGTATTAGTTGTCTACCTATAATAAAAACACAGAGAAGCATAAAGAGGAATTAAACTTCAATATGCAGAAAACTTACTCACCTTAAGAACTTTGGCATTCACAGATTCTTTCTCTTTGTAAAAAAATCTAACCATCTGAATAGTCAGGTATGCTGGCAAGCGACTAATTTTAGACTATAAAAAAAATAGAAAAAGCTATTATTTAGATAGTCACAGATCTTTTACACCTTAAACACTGCTCATCCTAAATTACAGGCTATTCTGGGAACATATTTGTACACAACAACATGAGAATATAAGAAGGCCTCATAGTTTGAAGCTCTGTGTAATCGTGTACTCGAAGAGGTAATTTTCAACTGGTCTTAAAATTTCTTGGTAGTAGATACTCAGATGCTTTATAAACATAAATCACATGCTGTTCCAGCAAAAACTTTGTGTTTTGGGCCAGAAAACTGGCAACAGGTAAAAGAAGTACTACTCACAGATTTGATATAGAGTGCATCCCTCTGCAGTGTTGGAGAGAGTTTGGTGATTTCTTCTTGGAGACGCTGTTAAAAACAACAAGGCAGTAGCACACAGTGTTCATTGTACAACACAGCTTAAAGAAAAGCAGAGCACGGATAAACAAACCACACACTAAACCCTGTCCTGCCAATCTCTTCTCTTGCTATCGGCCATTACGACGATACACAGAATTTTGAAACTGCTTGGCAGAAACACGGTGCCCATTCATTTGTTCAGCTCCAGCCTCACTCCTAAGCCCTGACAACACCAAGTTCCTCTCTACAGACAAGTTTTATTTGACAGGAGTAGAACTTGCAAGTTAACTACCTGGATGTGGTGACGCGTGTGTCGTGTCACGCTTGGGACACAACTGAAGAACGTTCGAAATCTCTTGTGATGGGAATATTTGCACATTTTTTCAGCTCCCAGTCTAAAGCAGACAGAGCTGCACAGAAGGAGACAGGTGGTGACACCCTGCTTCACGGACCTTTCCAAATTCTGGGAAAAAGACTGACCCGGCTGTCAGTGTTGTGACTCTCTTGCTATGGGCAATCCAGCGTAAGAATTCTAGACGACCTTTTTGAAAGTGAGGTTTGTTTCATAATCTTTTTACTTTGTGAGCATTAACTATTTTATCTTACTTTTCCTTCTAAATTCTGTCAGAAAAAGCAAATACAAAGATTATCTGAGAACCACGCAGCTTGGTCCAGTCCTGTACAAAGCAGATGACTGCTTCCATCCCTGCTCTTACACAAATACTCTGCAAGAGCAGTTACTACACAGATTTTGTAGTAGCTCCTCTCGTTGCTCCTTCAGATTCTCCAAAAACCCTAAAAACTTAGAAATATATATCTACAAAAAGCACAGACCACTTTAAGAAGCCCTACTTAAATACACAGTTTACAGATGATGTTGTGTCATGGAAGATAATACCCACTTCAAAATCTGCAAAATTAAGTTGAATTGTTCTATCATCAGTTTGGTTTCTTAGCAACCAAAATACCACCCTAGTTTAAAATTTACTTTCGGACTTTCTGGAAACCGTTTACAGCTTCCTCTTCAGAGTCAAGAAAACGCTCTTCTGAAGTCTGCTTTACATTAACATGCAATTCACTTTCACTGCCATCTTCCCATTGAACACAAAAAAAAACCCTTGGGGCTTTCTAAATCTTGGACAGCAGATGTCACTTCCACGTCACAGAAAACACAAGTCATCTAGATATTCAAGTCAATAAAAAAACAGTTGTCATGGCTTACCAATTTTAGTCCTGTAAACAGATATTTCACTTCTTGGTTGATAAAGCAGCTTAGCTGAAGCAGATTCTCCTTTCCCTTAGTTACTTCCTCTTCTTCAGCTTCTGTACATTTCATGCTTCACAAAATTAAGGAAAACCACCATGCACCAAGAGCTGAACTACTGCTCTAGTGCAAACGACACATTGAACAGCACGAGAACTGAAGATAATCCTGTGCTTGTGCTTCAATAGTACTTTTACTTCTCGTAGTATAAAAAGGAAGGTTTGAAACAGCTCTTCCTTCTAACCAACCTGTTCCTTCGTGTCTAATGAAGAGTGGCAGCTGAGGCCTACAGCTACCAAATAGTAAACTAAATTTTAAATCGCTGTTTAAGCTTGTGAGGCCCTGCTTTGTTCTTTCTTCTCCCCACCACCCCCAGGACACAGATCATACTAACAGGCTGCTGGGACCAGGTTTTCAAGCCCTCCTGCAACATTATGCTCCACTGTTGTTCACAATTAATAA